AGTTCAGTGTGGGGGACAAGCTGTTCAGACAGCAGAGTGTTCCTGCCGCCTCCAGCTTCGACTCTCCCGGCCAGCACTTGATGGAGGACAAGGCTGCCCTGCCACCTGTTCCAGCAGAGAAGTTTGCCTGCCTGTCCCCTGGCTACTACTCCCCTGACTATGGCCTCCCCTCACCCAAAGCGGCCACCGTCAGCAGCGCCCCTTCCCCAGAGGCCGTGTTCCCTGGCCTACCAGCCAAGCCCTCCCCTGCCACTAGGGGCGACCTCTTGGCCCCAGCCATCGAGGGGGCCCTGCCCCCGGACCTGGGCCTTCCTCTGGACGCCACAGAGGACCAGCAGGCCACAGCAGCCATCATCCCTCCGGAGCCCAGCTACCTGGAGCCCTTGGACGAGGGCCCCTTCAACGCTGTCATCACCGAGGAGCCGGTGGAGTGGGCCCATCCTGCTGCGGAGCAGGCCCTTTCCTCCACCTTGGTGGCCAGTGCCTCTGAAAACCCTGTCAGCTGGCCCGTGGGCTCCGACCTTCTGCTGAAGTCTCCACAGAGGTTCCCAGAGTCCCCCAAACACTTCTGTCCTGCAGAGACCCTGCATACCACTGTCCCAGGACCCTTCAGCACCTCAGAGCCCCCGTACCCCGTATCCCCCAGCTCCTACCCCTTGCCCGCCACCGAACCGGGCCTGGAGGAGGTCAAAGACGATGGGGCGGGAGCCATCTCTGTGGCCGTCTCCACCACAGAAGGGGCCACTGCGTATGCCACCCCTGCCAGACTGGAGTCTTTCTTCAGTGGCTGCAAGTCACTTCCTGAGGCACCCCTTGACGTGGCCCCTGAGCCCACGTGTGTCACCACGGTGACCCAGGTGGAGGCTCTGGGGACCCTGGAAAGCAGCTTCCTGGACAGTGGCCACAGCCTGTCTGCCCTCAGCCAGGGCGAGCCAGTGCCCTGGCATGACGCCTTCACCAGCCCCGAGGATGACCTGGACCTGGGGCCCTTCTCGCTGCCCGATCTCCCCCTCCAGCCCAAAGACGCCTCAGATGTCGAGACTGAGCCCGTGGAAGGGAGTCCCGTCCCACCAGAGGAGAGCGTCCCTGGGGCTGAGGGGCAGCCCATACTGCCTCCTGACCAGGTCTCTCCCCCACTTCCCGCCGAGTCTGAGCCCTCAGAGGAGCCAAAGCTGGACGTGGTTCTCGAAGCCGCGGTGGAGGCAGAGACCGTGGCAGGCGAGAGGACCCCCGAGGACTTGGACTCTGGCTCGGCACTGGCCCCCGGCCCTCCCGAACAGTGTCCCCTGGGGGGCGGAGCTGAGGAGACCAAGACTGAGGACCCCCCCACCACTCCCCATCATGCACCCGACGGCCCTGCCACCGATGGCACGGCACAGACGCCTGACAGTGCTGAGGTCACCCCTGTTGCCATCCCTGTGGAGGGGCCCCCAGGCAGCCTCCAGCCAGAAGCTACGGATCCAGAGCCCAAGCCCACGGCCGAGCCCCCGAAAGCCCCCAAGGTGGAGGAGGTCCCTCAGCGCATGACCAGGAACCGCGCTCAGATGCTGGCCAGCCAGAGCAAGCAGAGCACGCCTCCTACGGATAAGGAGCCCGCCCCCACGCCCACCCCAGCTGCCAGGGCCAAAGGCCGTGCCTCTGAGGAGGAGGATGCCCAGGCCCAGCACCCCCGCAAGCGCCGCTTCCAGCGCTCCAGCCAGCAGCTGCAGCAGCAGCTGAACACAAGCACGCAGCAGACGCGGGAGGTCATCCAGCAGACGCTGGCCGCCATTGTGGACGCCATCAAGCTGGACGACATTGAGCCCTACCACAGCGACAGGTCCAACCCCTACTTCGAGTACCTCCAGATCCGAAAGAAGATTGAGGAGAAGCGCAAGATCCTCTGCTACATCACGCCCCAGGCACCCCAGTGCTACGCCGAGTACGTCACCTACACCGGGTCCTACCTCCTGGACGGCAAGCCGCTCAGCAAGCTGCACATCCCTGTGGTGAGTACCACCCTGCCTGCCTGCACACGCACACCCTGGCATAGGTCTCTGGGGCCACCTCACGGCCTCCGGGATCAGGAGAGCTGCCAGGGTCTGTGCCTCCATGGATGGCTGGCCCCTGGCCCCCAGCCCTCAGCCCCAGCATTTCTGCAGCTGCTCTCTGAGCGGCGGGGCCCTGGTGGGCACCCCGGCACGGCCCGTCTTTGTGGCTCGCTGCTGGGACTGCCCTTCATGGAAAGCCTCAGCAGAGTTCACCTGCATCCCTCCCGTCCCGTCGCTGTGTCTCTCTGGAGCCTCGAGTACCTCAGTGGGTCCCACCTGCTCTGCCCGTCTCCCCTGCGCCTCTCAGCAGGCTCCCCACAGCGTGTCAGGCCCTACCAGGGCCTGGGCCTTCCTAGACAGGCTGCTTCCCACTTGTCCTCTGGGGTTCTCTCAACTGCAGAGGCAAAGGAAGCTCTTCTCCATCTCTGGCCCTGAGCCCCAGGCCCCTGGGGCCTCTCCCCTCACGCAGAGCTGACTTTCTGTGTGGCCACCTACCCGTGGAGGAGAAGCCAGGGCTTCTGTTGTTGACTCTCTGGGCCTGGCTGCACTCCGTCCTGGTTGCGGAGCAGAGGCCTTCTGACCTGCAGGTGGAATGAGGAAGATGGTGCTGCAGGGCCTTGCTCCCTCAGAGGCTGCTGCTGGACAGGAAGCACAGCTGCCGGGTGTCCCCTCTGAGCGAGGGTGGGTGTTGGACGTGGGCTTCTCCTGGGTTTTCCTGGAAGAGGTTGAGTTCAGCAGCAGCAGGGCCAGGCCATGTTGCAGCCACGTGTTCCCCCAAGGGGCATCCAGGAGCGCTGAGCCCTGAACCCTGAACCCTGCAGGAGGCCCGCACAGATGATGGTGTGGGCCCCTGCACTCAGACAAGTCAGGTCTGAAGTGTCTGTTCAGTAAGACCTCTTCCTACTTTCTGTGGTTGTATTTATGTCTCCATTACCCAAACAGAGTGACGGGGCTGCGGTGAGAAATTGGAGGGAAAGTAAAGGACCAAAGGTTGTGGTAGCCCTTCCCACAGCCCAGCCTTCAGTGTGGGCTCCTCCCTGTCTCCACCTCATCCTGCAGACCCTTGGGTGAAGCAGGCACATGCCTGCTGCTGTGTCGGGTATCCTGGCACATCCAAGTCCCTCAACCCATCTGGGCCCATCAGGGGACGAGATAGGCGAGGTTTGAAGGCTGCAGAGACCTAGCTGCATCTTCTGTTTTGAAATGATTTTAGATTCACAGAGAAGCCCACAACTCAGAGCCTCAGAATGCTTGTAGAGCCATCCTGGTGCTGTCTGTGGGATATCTGGTTCAGTGGTGGACGGGGCCTGTGGTGAGCACAAGACCCTCTTGGGCAGTGCTGATCATCTGTACAAGTGTCCTGTGATGGGACCGAGACCCGTGTCAGGGGCTGGATCCCCATAGTCACGGCCTGGTCCTGGGCACAGCTGGAGGGTTTCTGGTGTCTGGCTTCTGGTCATTGGGACTAATCTGAAGCCGTTGGGTTGGGTGCCTGGGCTGGGCTTCTCTGCCAGAAACGCTGTCTTCTTCTCGTTTGTTCCAGTCTCGGGAAAGACTTCAGGGCTGGATGTGGATCCTTTTTTTCTCACACTCTTGCCCCTGACGCCGCCCTGCAGCAGTGTCTCTGCTGTGCTTCCTGCAGCTGGGGACCCTGTCCATGCCTCAGGGTCTTGCTGCTCAGGGTTCTGCTGTCAGCAGGAGCCTCCATGGGCCTGTGGTTGATCTCGGCATCATCACATATCACCAGGCTGCCCAGGGCCTGCAGCTGCCACTCACTGTCTATTGCAGATGCCCTCCAGCCCGCCCCAGCCTTGCCTTCTCTGCCAGTTCCTTCCATGGTCGGAGAAGGCACCACACATCTGCCCAGGTCCTATGCACACTGCGGGTTTTTTGTGAGCCAGCTCTGGGAGCCTGGCCTCCAATTCCTAAGAGAGGAGGCCTGTTCCTCGTCACCTGTGGTGTACACGCTTGCCTGCTGGTGTCTGGCCACCATGGTCAGCCTCAGAGCCTCCCCCATGGGGACTGGGGTGGGCTCTCTTCCCTTCTCAGCAGCCAGGCAGCCTCAGGCACTGGCGTCCAGGTTCCATTTTGGGTGCGTAGGCCCTCACTGGACCCCACGGGGCTCCCCACTCCTGCTGTGCTGCTTTGGCACACAGGGTACGCACACCTCTCTCTCCTCCCCCTTGCCAGCAGGTGCTGTGTGCCCTGCCTTCTCCCTCACCGTCTCCTTGCTGTGCAGGGTCAGAGGTGCTTCTCAGGAGGTGCCTGGGTGGTGGGTGCTCTGGGCAGGGCTCCGGCCCCACTGACCCGTTCCCCTTGTGCATGCAGATTGCACCCCCCCCTTCCCTGGCGGAGCCCCTGAAGGAGCTGTTCAAGCAGCAGGAGACGGTGCGGGGAAAGCTGCGTCTACAGCACAGCATCGAGCGGGTAAGAGGAGGTCCAGGCATGGGGGCCACTGCTGGGGGCCTGCGCTCACCCCTCCTCCCCCTCGCAGGAGAAGCTGATCGTGTCGTGTGAGCAGGAGATCCTGCGGGTGCATTGCCGGGCGGCCAGGACCATCGCCAACCAGGCAGTGCCTTTCAGTGCCTGCACGATGCTGCTGGACTCTGAGGTCTACAACATGCCTCTGGAGAGCCAGGTGGGTGACCCAGCTGGGCCAGGGGCCCAGGACCTCTCCTTCCTAGAAGAGCCGACAGGCCTCACACGCCAGGCAGCAGAGCAAGCACGAATCCAAGTGCTACACTTGGATCAGGACTGTCCCAGCTTCCCGTACTTGGCACACTGGGACCCAGGTGTCCCCCAGACTGCTGGACAGGGCCTCAGCCAGTGTGCAGCTCTGAGTCCTAAACTTCCCCTGGGACACTTGCGAAGCCAGGGTGAGCCGCTGCCCTCCCCATCGAAGGCCCCAGCGGGTCGGGGTTTCCTATCTGAACCTCAGCCCAGCCTGCAGCTGAGAAGCAGCTGGACCTGTGCAGCCCAGGCTGTGCCAGCAAGCCCTTCCCCTGCTGTGAGCAGTGCTTGGCTGGGCCTGGGGCAGGCTGAGCTGCATGACCCAGGACTGCCTTGCCTTCCACACCCACTTCGAGTGCTGGCCTCCAGCCCATGGCCTGTCACTGACTGTGTGGCAATACTCCAGAGCTCACCTGGGGACTCCCAGCCCTGGGGAGCGTTTCTAGTGTCTTGACCTTTCTGTGTCCATGGCTTTATGCTGGGACCTCTGGACGGATGCCCTGGGTCCCACGGGCCCCGGAGGCTTGGCAGTAGAGCCTTGGTAGGCTCCAGTTAAAACGTTCCTCGTGTGTTAAGGCTCCCCTACACTGAGACGTAGATGCTTTCCCATTTATGTTACACACAGGTTTTTCTTTAAAGCAAAGCAGTTTGTCAAGCTGTAAAGCAGAGGTTAGCTGGGGACTAAAGGAGTGTTTTGTGAATATTTGGAAGTTTTGCTCTTTGCGTCAAAAAGAAAAAACCACTAAGTAATTTCCTGGGTCTCTTTTGAAGGTCCAAAGGAAAAAGTGTTCTCTTTTTTTTTTTTTTTTTTTTTTTTTATTAGTATGGATAAACATACTACCTTTATGTGTTTATTTTATGTGGTGCCAAGAATAGAACCCAGTGCCTCACACATGCTAGGCAAGCGCTCCACCACTGAACCACAGCCCAGCCTAAAAGACAGTCTCCTGATGGTCAGGCTGAGGCCTCTTCTGTAGTACCTTGCTGACAGTCTGGGCACGAGGTGCACAGAGGCCACCGGCCTTCTGTTCTGAGAGCCTTTGGCATGTTCTTTCCAGGGTATGCAGGGGAGGCTGGGCACCTCCTTCCCAAGGGTGCCTGTGTCTGGTCCACAAGTGCAGACCCATTTGTTGGGGTGAAAGTGGGGCTATGGGCGAGGAGGAAGCAGTCAGGATCATAGGACATGGAAGCCAGTGGGGAGGGCAGACCAGGCTGCCCAGGGCCTGCAGCTCCCACCTAGGAGAAGGGAGATGCGTTTCTGGAAAGTGGAGAGGTTGCCCGGGCGACACCAGCAGCTTCGTGTGATCCCTGTGCCATCCGTTTGAGCCTCTGGAATGGAGACTAGGGTCAAGGGACCTTACTCCATCCCACCCAGGACACGAAGCACCCCACTGGAAAGCCCCACCGAGGCGCAGCCCCTGTCAGCACTGCTGTGCTAGAGCAGGTCCCGAGTGGCTGCTGGGGGCCGCTGATGCCCAGGAACAGCCTCTCCAGGGAAGATGGGGGCTGGGGGTCATCCCCTTGGCCCTGGACCAGGGTAACCTCCTGAGGTGACCACACCTCTGCTGGTCACCTCCCCAGCCCTCTTCCTCCAGACACACCTCGTTTGATTGACAGGGCGACGAGAACAAGTCCGTACGAGATCGCTTCAACGCCCGCCAGTTCATCTCCTGGCTACAGGACGTGGATGACAAGTACGACCGTATGAAGGTGGGTGCCGCAGGCCGGTGGCTGGACACCATGTATGCCTTGCCAGCCCTGCCCGCCCCCCACCAGCACACCATTACTAGCAGCCATTTGACTTGACAGTTTTACGGTTTCAGCTGCCCTGGGTCCCAGCCATCACCTGGCTCAGTGGGAGGCACAGTCACAACAGGCCATTGCGGTTTACACAGCCTGGGGGTGGAGTGGGGTGGGGGGCTGCGGCACCCTCTCTACCTGTGTCCTCTCAGCTGACAGGAGACCCAGGGAGACCCTACCTGAAAGAGAATTAGGCTTTGTGCATTTGTACACCACTTTTTATTAATGCAAACTTTTGCAAGAAAAGTAGACTGGGAAAAAAGAATCTAAAGGAGGTAGCTCAGGAAAAGGGAGATAAGATGGCCAAACTTGGTGAGAAGATGTTCAGTGTAGTCGTTAGTTTCACAACCAAAAATGACATGACCTTTAGAAGAATGCAAGGGGCTGGGGCTGCTACCGTCCCCCTGCAGGTTCTGGGAGCGTCAGCTGGTGTGGTCCACCTGAAGTCCAGCAACTGACAGCCCAAAAGGCGTCAGGGTGGCCCTGCAGGTCCCCGCCCGCATGTGTACTTGGGCAGTAGCTCAGTTTGGGCTGTGAAGGCAGAGGAGGAACTTGGGGCCCTAGAAAGATGAAATGGGGGGCTGGGCTGGGCTGTGGCTCAGTGGCAGAGCGCTTGCCTAGCATGCATGAGGCTCTGGGTTTGATTCTCAGCATCTCACACAAATAAATAAAATAAAGGTCCATCAACAACTAAAAAATATTTTAAATAAAGAATGTTAAATAAAGGCCACAGCCTTGTCCAGTCCTCAGGGGCTGCTATGGTGGCTCTCAAACCCTAGCAGACCCCCAGTGCAGCACAGCCGTGGGGCGGGATGGTAGACACAGGGCAGTCAGGGGCACAGACCATCCTGAGGGGCCGTCTTCCCAATGAGCAGCACCGTGGCTAGTTACAGAAAGGTCTGTGTCTTGCCAGGGCAGTGGGCCATGGGCAGTCAGGTCCAGGCCGCAGCCTGCTGTGCATCTTGCCCTACAGAGGCAGCCGGGGCCACGGGTGGCATCTGGGACCCTCACCCGTGTGTGTCCTGCAGACCTGCCTCCTGATGCGGCAGCAGCACGAGGCCGCAGCCCTCAATGCCGTGCAGAGGATGGAGTGGCAGCTGAAGGCACAGGAGCTGGACCCCGCAGGGCACAAGTCGCTGTGTGTGAACGAGGTGCCCTCTTTCTACGTGCCCATGGTCGATGTCAACGATGACTTTGTGCTGCTGCCAGCGTGACACCAGGAGAAAGTTGCAGGACACCGGCAAGGGCCGTAGTCACCAGTGCTGCTGACGTGCCCGCAGTGCAGGAGGGCACCGTGCCGGCCAGGTGGGAGGAGCCCAGAGACTGCACCTGGCCACACGCCTCGCCTGCCAGACCAGCCCGGAGGCCAGGAGACCAGAGTCTTTACCAGCGGTGGCAGGGAGAACGGGCCCCCACGCTGCAGTGCCTCGTTGGCCCAGCAGGAGGAGGAGACCATGGCCCATCCAGAGGGGCACCTGGGTCCCTCTCAGCCAGCCGCAGGCACCCGAGGAGCAGGAGAGTGCGCTTTTGAAGTCCCTGCTCCCCTCTGATCAACTAAAGGAAACGACTGAGGCGTCCACCTCGCACAACAGTGACCTCTGGTCGGGGGCAGGAGTGTCCGCCCGCCACGGTCCTCAGGACAGGCTGGGACACTGAGGTCGCTGGTGCCAGGCGAGGGCCACCTGCCGGCCACAGAGGGACTCAGCCAGGACTCTCCAATAGTGTTTTTAATGGAGTCAAATCCACGTGGTTTGTATATTTTTTTCCTTTAATCTTGGGCATTTTGTTTCTCTTTCTGAGAACGTAACTTGAAACACTACAGAGCCAATAATCCTATAGAGAGTATCCGCGAACGAACGCTGTACAGTTTTATATACATTCACAATGTACTTTTGCTGCCTTCTAGATAATTTATTTTGCAACACATTACTGCACAGTTGTAAATAACTTATGTACTGTAACATCACTTTCAGTTATGTGTAAAGAAATAAATAAATTAATTAAAGTGCTTCGCCTGGTGTGTGGCTGCTCAGGAGGTCCAGCCTCTGCTGGGGAGGTCGCTCCTCCCGCCTCCCCATCCCACCATCGTAGGACCATGGCCTCGGAGAGGCCTCCCTGTCCCCTCAGCTGAAGCCAGCTGGGCTCCGGCCACCACCTGAGCCTGCACAGGGTCTTTTCCCATGACCGGGCAGCTGGAGCCCCACTGGGAGATGCTGACACTGGTCAGAGGGTGGGCCCTCCACCTCGTGTTTTTCCCGAGCAGAAATGGTGATCCTGCTGTTGGGAGGGGCCAACAGGCCATTCATCCCTGACCTGTGGGCCCCTGCAGGCAGTGGCCCCTCTGCTACCTGCCTCAGTAGGGGGAGCTACAGAAAGGGCCCCCCCAAGGGAGCGAGGAGGAGTCCCTGTGTCCTGTGAGCTGAGCTGGGTGAGCCATCACCCCTCAGGCCAGGGGATCCCTCACCTGCCAGCCAGCCAGCTGGTGCTGCAGGGCATCCTGTGGCACAGGGTCCTCTCAGGACAGCACCCTGCCAGCGTTGGGGCTTAGGCTTAGACAGGAAGGAACGAGAAGAGCCATTGGCTCATCGGCAGCCTGGAGTAGGTGAGGGGTTGGAAAAGCCAAGAATAGTTTTCTTCTTACGGAGGTGGTTCCTGAGGCAGGGCTGGCCCATGTGAGAAAGGGTCCCCTGCAGGTGGGACAGCTGCCTCCCACCCCACTTCCTCCTCCAGGGAGGACGGGAGGAGGGGCCCAGAGGAGGAAGCCCCTGGGCAGCATGTTGCCACAGCCACCTGGAGCTACTGATGGTCACCTGCTGCACCTGGCCTTCGCTGCTTATGCCACTGGGCCCTCCCCACAGGCAGGACAGTCAGCAAGGCCTGCAGGCACTGCCCAGTGTGCTCTGGGGACAGAACTGCTGGTCTCCACAAAGTACGGCGTTGCGTGACTCCAGTTCCGTGAGGTTGAAATGGGGAAAGGTAGCCTGGGCACTGGCACCATCCTGTCCTTGACCTGCCATTGACCAGTGGGTATCTGAAGTTGGTTTATTTATTTTAATAAGGGATGGAAGAGATTTCTCCAGAGATGCTGAAAAGCAGGTGGGGTGCGAACCTACAGTGGCAGTCAGAGCCACTTAACCTCCCAGAGTGCCCCCAGAACGGTGGTGAGCGACAGTCACACAACCTGGAAAGGTGGTGCCGTGTCAGACCAGCGCCTCCAAAGATCAAGCAGGTCTGTCTGCTGACAGAAAATCAGACAGGGCCTCCAGGGCAGTAGAGCAAGTGCTGGTGGAAATCCCTTCTCCACACCCGCAGTGGGTCAGGCTGCTGAGACCACCGCCAGCATGTGGGAGACCCAAGGCCAAGCCTCGGGGTGTGCTGACCTTTCCAGTCTGCCCTGCTCCTCTCTCACTGGTGACACCTTGGGAACCAGTGGCCTGGAGCCAAGGGCTGCCTGTGCACAGGGCCACTGCTGTGACTCAATGTGCCTGATGGCTCCGTGGAAAGCCACAGGGACTGGTGTGACTAGACTGGCTTGGAATCTACTCCTGGGGAGGGGGAAACGCCTTCAAATCACAGCTGCCTGGGGGAGAGGAGAGACCCCTGGGGACAGAGGCCTGTGTGCACGCCACAAGCTCCGCGTGCCTGGGGCTAGAGAAGTCCATGTCCACGTCCACATGCAGTCCTGTACACACCCAGGGCAGCTGAGCATATTCCAGCTCCTCACCTGAGCGTCAGGCCTGGTGCAAGATCAAGGCTGAGGCACAGCAGTGACCTACCAGAGCGCCAAGAAGCACCGACCGAGGACATACTGGGCCAGGGCCACTAGCTGAGCACCCAGCCAGCTGGCTGCACCCTGCAGCAGCCCCCAAATACCCAGCCTGGGGGGAGTAACGTGCAGAGTTGCCTCCTGGACTATGTAAAATGTCTAGCTCTCAACCTAGTGGTCCACAGACAGCACCCCCAGGAAGCCCAGGCGCTGAGCCCACCAGAGACCCAACACCGGCTTCTGCAAGTGGATGTCCAGAGCACACCAGAAACCAGGTCTGAAGAATTACAGTGACCTGTAGAAACAGAGCCAGTAGATGGAGATGAGTTTAAAAGCAGCAGACGGAAATTTCATTGGTGGAAAATGGAATCACTGAATTTCACTTGGTAGAAGAAAGAATTGGCAGACCAGGCAGGTGAGCCAAGATGGAGTCTGAGGAAGGGAGCCAACGGGTATGCAGGACCGTGAGGCTGTGCGTGCTGGAGGGAGAAGGGGGCACCCAAGCTCATGGACAAGACGAAGCAGGGCCAACAGGAAGAGGCCTGTGTCCACACATCATGTCCAGGCAAAAGGGAGAGGGTCCTGACTGCAGCAGGGACCAGCAGATCAGCCAGTGGCTTCTGGGCCAGCAGCCAGGCAGGCAGCCAGCTGCCCTGTCCAGAGTGCTGCAGAACACTCTGGACAGGGCAGCTGGACAATCCAGACCCAGGCCTCACGGCCGTAAAACCCCTCAGGACAACTGGGAGGCCCTTCGATGGCCGTGGTTTTGGTGACCTAAGGCACCAGCCATGAGAGAAGAAGCGAGACTTCATCCAAGTTAAAGATACGTGCAGCAGGGGTGCAGCTCAGCCAGAGAGCTCTCTGGTTTCAATCCCCAGAATCACAATTTAATAAATAAAAATGTGTTCATCAAAAAAAAGGAAAAACCGGGTCTGGGCTTGCGGCTCAGTGGCAGAGTGCTTGCCTAGCACAGGTGAGGCACTGGGTTCAATCCTCAGCACCACATAAAAAAATAAAGGTGTAGTGTCCATCTGCGACTAAAAAATATATTTTGAAATAAAGGAAAAATCGGTTATATTTCTACATATTGGTAATTTAAAATCTGAAAAGGATATTTAGGAAATAAATAAAAGAATAAATAATTAGGAATAAAGTTAGCCAATGGAGTAGAAGCATGAGTGAGGCACTGGGTTCGATTCTCAGCACTATATGTAAATAAATGAATAAAATAAAGGTCCATCGACAAAAACTTTTTTTTAAAATTTAAAAATAAATTGAAAGATAGCCTGAAGATATTTCCATCCCCTGTACCCAAAATAAACCAGCTGTCTTGGAAAAGAAAAGAAAGCCGAGGGACACCCACTCCTCAGTTTCCAGGCTCCGCACCTGGCTACGGCAAAAGAAAGAACCCCGCAGGGGAGGCCCCAGGAGGGTGCCCACTCAGGGAACAGACCTGGAGACCACCTCAGAGAGGTGGTGGTCCACACGCAACGTGACCAGGTTGACCCCTGTCTCACTCCACATACAGAAGTAACCTGGCTGAGAGCGGGCGTCAGAGGGCCTGCCTAGCATGCAAAGGCTCTGGCTCCAGGCCCAGCACCAACAAAACAAAACTCAGATTTTCCAAGTGCAGTGGTGCATGCTGAGATCCCAGCGACTCAGGAGACAGGCAAGAGGATCACAAGTTCAAGGCCAGCCTCAACAATTTAGCAAGGCTCAAATAAGGGCTGAGAATGCACCCGTGCTAGGGGGAGCACTTGGTAGCAGGTGGGAGGCCCTGGGCTCCATCCCCAGCACTACAAAACAAAGACCCTGTCAAGAGTCAAAAGGCAACTGGAGAATGGGAGGTAAGGGGTTAATATCCCGAGAATCCCCAAAGCTCAGTAACCAAGCAGACAATCCCATCCGGAAATGGGCAAGAATCCTGAGTCAACCTTCCTCCAAGAATCACCAGAGGCCAAGAAGCACGGTGGACGATGCCAGCGCCACCCGGAGGCACCTTCTGCCCACCAGCAGCCTTCTCTGCGAGGACACACAATGACACTGGGAGGCTGTGGTGGCCTGCAGCCCTTGGGCACAGCGGCTCAGAAGATGGTGTGGAGCGGCCTCGGAAAGCTGAAGTCCACACGCCAACGGGAATCGGGAAGGGGAGTTCTACCGGCTTTTGCAGTTCTGGGGACTGAACCTAGGGATCGATCCCTCCCCAGCCCCCCACCACGTTGCCCAGGCTGGCCTCAGACCTGCCTCAGCCTCTGGGGACACTGGTTCTGGAGACATCTGCCACTGCGACCCACAGGAAGAAGGTCTTGAAGAGGTCTGTGACCACGTTCCCAGCAGCATTTGAGCACCACAGCTAAATGTGAAAGTGACCAGAGTCCACTTTCTGGTCAGTGAGTGAGCCAAGCATGGCCTAGCTGTGCCACAGAATATCCCTTCACCTTAAAAAGCAAATTCTCTCTCTCTCTCTCTCTTTTTAAGATGGGTCTTGCTGTGTTGCCCAGGCTGGCCTTGAACTCAAGGTCCTCGGGTCTCAGCCTCCATCCAAAGTCGCTGGGATTCCAGGTGAGCACCACCACACCCAGCTAACAGGGAAATAAAGGGAGTAAGTTCTGACACATGCTACTCTGTGGGTGAACCTGGAGCACTTTATGCTAGGAGAAGCCAGTCACAGAAAGACTGACCCTGGGTGGTTCCACGTAGAAGAAACGGAGTCCTCCAAATCAGAAGTGGAGCGGTGGCCACCAGGGCCAGGGAGGGAGACGGGGAGCGGCTGCTTAACAGGGAGGGTTCCCATTTCACAAGATGCAGAGGTGGACCTGGCAATGGCTGCACATCGTGACTGCGTCTGCCCCCACTGACCTGGACACTCAGACCCCATACCCATCCCAGAACTGTACAGACGGTGGGTCTGACCACATGCACCACACATCTAGGAAGGAAAGCACTGGCAGAAGTGTCCTGATGCTGGGGTGGGAAACAGGGCAGCTGCTGTGAAAACCAGGGTCCTTCCAACAGCTGACCACACTCCCTGAAGACCCAGCAATTCCACTCCTGCAATTCCACTCATGCAAACAGGTGCTCCAAGTGTTCACAAAACAGGATGAGCTGCTGACCAACGCCACCATACCCCGCGGGAGCCTCGGACCCAACACTCCAGGAGTCCACTTGGAAAAGCACCCAGAACAGGCAAGCGCACAGCAGAAGGTGAGCGGAGATCACCAGCAGCGGGAAGGAGTGGTGAGGGTTTCCCTCACACGTTCAAGGCCAGCCTCGGCAATTTCTACCCTGTCTCAAAAAATCAAAAGGGCTGGAGTGGTAGCTTTAGTGGTAGATAGAAAGCCCCTGGGGTCAATCCCCAGTACCATACCAAAAAAAACCAGTAGCTAAAATGGTAAGTTTTATGCTATGTGTACTTCACCATCAGTTTAAAAACTAAAGACCACAGAGACTGGAACAGAATCACCACATGCCCCGCAGTCCTACTCCAGGGGTGTGCCCACCAGAGCTGAGCAGGCCACCTGGTGCCACACAGAAGGGAAAGAACCCACAAGTCCACCAGCCAGGGGCGGATAAGAAAAGGTGGAGCATGTTTAGTCATAAACACTGCGGTGCTGACTCGCCCGGGGGGAGAGGGGGGGAGCCAGACCTACAAGACCACGGGACCCGTGACTGCATTTACTGGAATATCCAGAGCAGCTGGCGCTTGTCAGGGGCTGGCGGAGGGGGAGTCTAACAGCCCAGGATAACACTGTAAGACTAAATGACACCGATTGGGGGCTGGGGACGTGGCTCAAGTGGTGGCGCTCTCGCCTGGCATGTGTGCGGCCCGGGTTCAATCCTCTGCACCACATACAAAACAAAGATGTTGTGTCCACCAAGAACTAAAAAATAAATATTAAAAAATCTCTCTCTCTCTCTCTCTCTCTCTCTCTCTCTCTCTCTCTTTAAAATAAATAAATAAATAAATAAATGACAGACACTGATTGCCTGCTTCGTTGTTTAGATTTACTTTGTTGTTGCTATGCTGAGGACCAAACCAACTGGACCCCATACCCATCCCAGAATTGTACACTTTAAGGTGCTTACTTTGTTATGTGAATTCCACACCAACAGACTTTTTTTAAAATAAATTTATTTACTTATGTGGTGCTGAGGATCCAACCCAGTACACCTCACATATGCTAGGCAAGAACTCTGCCTCTGAGCCACAACCTCAGCCCTTCCTCCCACAGACTTTTAAAAAGCTACTATCAGAGCTGGGATATAGCCCAGTTGGTAGAGTTCTTGCCTCCCATGCACAGGACCCTGGTTCAAACCCCAGCACCACAAGGGGAAAAAAAAAGCTAATGTCATTCTTTTAAATGCAAAAATGCCAATTATGAGGCCAGGTGTGGTGGCCCTGAGAAGGAGTTCAGCAGTTCAAAGCCAGCCTCAGCAACAGCAAGGCACTAAGCAACTCGGTGAGACCCTGTCTCTAATAAAATACAAAATAGGGCTGTGGGGGCTCAGTGGTAGAGTGAGTGCCCCTGAGTTCAATCCCCTGTACCAAAAAAAAAAAAAAAAAAAAAGCCAATTGTGAATTTTTATGAAAACACAGAGCCCATTCACAAAGCAAAAGAAAACAAACGTGAAAAAAATTCTACAGATTTTACTAGTTTGTGATCTACTGTTGAGAAAACATTGCTGAGAAAAACCAGAGCTGAGAATAAAGAAGCGGGTGGGGGGGCCGTGGGGGGGCTCAGCGGTGGAGCACTCTCTAGCACTTGCGAGGCCCTGGGTTCCATCCTCAGCACCACACAAAAATAAAGTAAAGGTATTGTGTCCACCTACAGATCAAAAAACCAAAAAGAAGCCCTACCTGGTTCCTGGAGCGGCAGCATCCACGGCGCCCAGCGCTACCCAGGTACGAGTGACTCTGCCGAGATGCAGTGGAGGCGCACAGCCTACGGGCACACATCGCCCTCGGCTGCCAGGTCTTTCGGGCTCACTGGTCGCCAGGCAGGTCCCCGGAACCTCCGCGGGAGCCCGCGTCCGATCGCCCACCGGCCC